CTTCAACCACGTGACTGGGTTGTGCTAAATGGAAACACTACTTGAGAGCTCTTGTGGATACGCCATGTGAGGGCACTAAATCAAAACAAGAAGCGTGGTTCTTAGAAGAACCGAGGTTAAAAAACAACGGCGTTTGAGTCAGTATGCTCTGACCATCTTCAGGAGAAAGTCTAAATTTTGGAAAAGGGGACTTAAACACGTGGGAGATAGTTAGTGATAAGGAGGTTGCTTTTCAACTTTGGCAAAAGGAGATAACCGCTTTCAAAATGTCCAAACTTGGCGTCAATTTATTGAGTATTTTGTCCGATTTCAGGCCACTTTTACCAATGATAGGGTCGCACTCTCTCATATTCCAGTTGCTGATGGCCCGACGGAATTGCGGCATCCAGATGTCCCAGGCCAGCCTCTCGTACACCGTCATGGTCTTGCCATTGGGCAGCAGGAAGCGGCTGTCATCCATGTCTAGCAAACCCTTCCACCTTTTGAAGAGGTCCACATGCTTGTTGCTGTCCCTGAGAGCATTCCAAGACCTCAGCTCTTCTTTTATCTGAAAAAGGACAGCACAGGGCAGACATAATGCTGATGTCTTTGGCACATGTAGCTGTGGTAATTAAAAGCACTGCTAGGGCTGTGCTGAATATTTGAATATTAAATTAATCAAATATTCATTTTGGAAATGGATGCAAAGTGGTGAAAAATTCAAAACGGGTGATTCACTGTGTAGCGTGCCACAAAGAAGTTGACATGCAGAGGCCATTTTTGCAGTGCATTGTGGGAAAACGGTTGACAAATTTTATTCATCAGCTGCACGCAGGGAACTTGAATTTTTCCCCATATTTGTTTGTTTGGGTAGAAGATTCACAAGTGCAGTTTGAATATCCGTTTGAAGTCATCAAGATGGTGCACTTTTGTCAGGAGGCAGAATGCTGCTCAGATACTCTGAAACTCCAAATATCTCACAATTTCTCAAGATAAATGCCATATTTTTGTCGCGTGTAAACTTGGAAAATAGCCCCCCCATAGAAATCTTTTGGTGGCGCAACATACTGTAAATCACTTGTGTTAAGTAGGGTACGGATCAATGTCTGGAAACTCAGTGAGGTACACCACTAAAAAACAATTACTGTAAATTTTAACCTTTCAATCAATCTGTGTAACCCTAACCCCCTAGGCCTTTTTACTAGGAACCATCCTCAATCCTCCAAAATCCTCTGATTTTCGGCATGAAAAAATTGCATTCAGCCTCAATCCTCCGAAATTTCTTGAAAATGTTATTTGGAGGTGTGCCTACTGCCTCAATCCTTCAAAATCCTCCGGCAATTCCTGTCATTATGTTGAGGCAGTGCAAAGGGCATTCTTGAGCTGTGCAGTTGATTCAAAAGAAATATCGAGCTGAATTTGTGTTTGACTAAGCAAAAACAACACAAGGTCTAATCCACGACCTTCACAGATGGCATCCTTCGCAATCAGCCATGCACTTTTGCCATTCACCCTCAATCCTCCAAAATCCTCCAAAACCATCCGAAGAACTTTGGAGGATTCAGGAGGGTGTACCATGCTCATGAATATTTTACCATAGAAACAGGAATTTTAGAAACGAAATAATGTTCCGTGTTTGGATTGTGGCAGAATGTTTCACCAAAAAAAATGCACTGGCTCACCAGCGGTAAGACAATTACAGCGGCAAGCTGTGACAACTCAAATGCTCTATACTCCTCCCGATAGTCGCTCTGCAGTGTCTTGAAGATCTCCTCGCAGTCGTCCAGGGAGAGGGGGTCGGGGCAGCCGGGCTTGGACCGCGCCTCACACTGCTCCACGATGCCCATGATCTTCTCCAGCTGGGAGATCTGCCGCTCCTCCTGGTTGAGGACGGCCCGGAGTTTGCCCTGCTCGTGCTGGAGGTTGACGACCATGTCCTCCTCGTGGTGTAACCTGGAGAGGGTAGAGAACATGTGCAGAGGGATTGATTGAGGGATATGACAAAAGAGGATCATCTCAATTTCTGGCAATTCTCGACTTTAAAATACTGAGGTATAACATAAAAGTGAAACCAAGGTAATGAAACTGTAAAGCTAATAAATAAGGCAGAAAAGTGTTTCTCATGTCAAGTAATGTAGAGGTTTTTGAAACGGAGGCATCAAGTAACTTTAAAAGTATGGTAAAACCTTGATACCTCAAATCTCTGGGGAATGGACAAAAAATTTAAGTTATCCGAAATTCGAGTTAAAAGAAGGTCCCGATTTCTTTTGAAGTTAAGTCATTATTACGATGTGTATCATAACATGTACCGATACGCTGATGCACAGTACTGTAAATCTCCTTGACTTTTGAAATGACATTGTGGTTATTTTATACTTTGGTGCAACAAGTTTTTATTCATAGAAAGACATTCTAGCGGAGGATTTTTGCTGTCAATCGGCTGATAAATAACATATTACATGTACTGTACGTCATTTAAACTGTGTACCTTTGTGTGGCAAATCTTTCTTTTGCGTTGTGCATTTGTGACGCATTGTGGTGGTCCCATTTCTGATACCGTGCACCGCAAAGCAGTGCCTTGCACATGCATACTCGGTTGGGTTTCCCGACGAGTCAGACGACTTTTTTCATCATATGAGGGTGCACCTTTTTGCACTTCCATAAAATTTTGTAAAAACAAAAATGCTGTTGGTGTCAGTTTTTATTTTTTGTTCTTTGTTATTTATTTTCAAACTTTTGTTTATTTTTTGGGAGTGAGATTTAGCTGCGCAAAAGCTCTGCATTGCAGTCATGTGGTTGGTCCACTGCGGCTGAGCATGCTGTGGTTTGTGGCTCCAATTGGGCAGCCATCGCATGGGCGAGCGCAAGTAGTTTTCCCAGACCATGAGGCCAGACTTAATTTCCGAACGTGCATGTGGCGCGTGTGGCATACACAAAGATCTCCAATGCATTGCCGCAGCCACTGCAAAGAGCCATCAGTTGGCCTGCCGACGCACTGACTACAATGGGCCCACGGTAACAATTGGGCCAATTCCTGCAAGTCGGATTTTGCGGTCACAGTGTGGTTTACGTGTCTAGATTGATCATCACTGTAGCGTTCTTGCAAGTGTTCCGGTGTGAAAAGATGAAGTGTGCGTGTCAGAAATGATTCATAACTAGACCCACATTCTGTTTTCACTTTCTGGAAGTTTTTTGGCAGTGGTTTCTTTTGGATCTGTTACACAAAAACTTCGAGGTAAACAAATCCGGCAACGTGAGCAGTTTGAGTTACAGATATTTTTTGTACATAAAAGCCTATTCTTTCGGCGGGGAATTCATTATTCTTCGAGTTAAGCCGGGTTACGAGTTAACCGACTTTGAGTTATCGAGATTTTACGGTATATGGCAGTGTTGCTGATGAGTTGCTCTGTCAGACATGAGTCACAATACTTTCAACATGAGACATGAGTTTGGGGGAAAAAACTGACCTTGCACACATGGCTTAAAACTGACATAAAATTTGACTTGTTGACTTCATAACAGTTTTTGTTAAAATAAATGGAAGGAAACACTACACGTACGGAAATTAAATGGTGGCTTCCAATGTGCCAAGTAGCCTTGTGTGTGCTATCACTTGGAATATCGGCATATTTCAATCCAAAAATGGGGCAGAGAAGTCAGGCCAGTTTGGAGAAAATGTCACCTAAATAACCAATTTCAGAGAAAGTACCATGTTCATTATGACTACAGAGGGACTTCAATTGACGAGACTTGTGGAAAAATTTCTCTGGTCTTGACTGGTACAATAATCGCCTGGTTTGTACAACAACACTGCTTTAGCCCTAACCACACAGAATCCAACACCAGTAAAGTGTGTGAGTTTGTGGCATTGGGTACTGGTAGCCAACTATCTGGTGTTTCATTTGGTGTGAATGGGTACTGTGGGCCTGCACATACACTGTACCCTGTTGAATTTTGACTGAATGGGTACATGTACTGTGGCCCTCTCACTTTATCCCAGCAGTTGGGGATGGATATGCAGCTTGATGGTGTGTGAGTTTGTTTGAATAGGTACTGCCTGTCCATGTTCTTTGTATTGTGCAATAGACCTGCTGTAGCCAATCAAACAGAACCACACAGGTAAAACCCTGTTGAAGTTTGTGGTATTGAGAACTCTTGCAACAGGAGTACTGTTGAAGTCTGTGGGATTGGGTACGGTGAGGTAGGAGTGTTTTCCAAGGTGTTGAAGTTTGTGTGATATGGAAGGTTAGGTCCAGCAACCCTTGGGCTGTTAGGGTTAGAGAATAAAACATTAAATCGAATCATCACTGTTATAACAAACTTAACTGCAGGTACCGATACTGTGTGCAGACACTTTGTGAAAACCATGATTAATGAGAGTGGTTTCATGAACTAACACCTAGGTGAGCGCACTGTGAACGCTGACGTGTTGTAGAATAATTCTGGTTTTCGTGAACTGACAAGGAAGCTTGTAGCGGATACGTTAAAAAAAATTGCATTTAAGAGCTTGACTCAAATTGACTCCATCTTATTTACATGTACTTGTACCTATAAGGTGAAGGAAAATTGCACTTGGAAACCGTGGAATTGAGAAACTGACAAAGAATTCCCAATTGTGAAATGAAAATGCACTGAATGATTACATGCAGTGCTTGGCTACCATTACTGAAAATCGAAATGACGTGGTTCTGTGAATTTAGGGTGAGCAGAGCACACTCAAGCACCGCTTTGTGCTATTCATATTGTCGGAAATGAAAGTGTCCAGAAAACCTCAACTCACTGTCTGTCATGTTGGATGATCTGCTGCTCAGCCATCTCCACCAGGAGCTGGAGGTTGTGCTCTAATTCCGGCATCTCAAAGGCCGACTTTTTGCCCTCTGGGCCCTCGACCTCTAACCTCTCGCTGGGCTTGTCGTGCTGCTTTCCAAGATGACTGTAGCCCGACATCACACGCTGCTCGGGCCCCGTCATGTCAATGACCTTCACCCCTGAGGCGGCGGGATCAGCTTTCTTCCGCTTCTTGAGGTGCCCTGATTTCTTCACCTCCTCTACCGTCCGGTAGACATACTTGGTCTTTTTCTTGGCAGCCTGAATCGGGGAGATAATTGCAGATGGAGAAGGTAAAATGAAACTTATTTGCATTTCCCTCTTGCCTAGACAATTTCCAAGTGGGAAAGCTTAAAAGCAAGGATATGGAAAATGAGCAGTTCTCTTTTTCACACAAATTAACTTTGCGCATACCGTACTGACCACTGCCATCACCTTCATTGCATGCAACCACCATCTACCTTGTCCAATCAAATGTATTCAACACACTCAATACACAAGCATTGCCTCTGTGTTGGAATCATGAAATGTCACTGCCTCTGACTGGGTACTTTCCTAGTTTGTCACATCCATAAGCAGGCCTTGACCTTATACTTTTAACTGGCCCACCGCGCAGGTTAACAAATCTTTTTCACCAGCCTGCAGATATTTTCACTAGCCCACTGGACACTGTTTAGCAAATCAAACTTTGACTGTTTTTTTTTCCAACATTATTGATTTTCAACGGTTAATGTGAAGTCAAACTGTCAATTTTAAAATTTAAAGGTGGAGGTTCAAAGCTTTTACAATTGATAACGAACAGCAGGTACAATCAAAATTTTACATATCTTCATCTCTATTAATGAGACAAACAACAGTTTCAAACAGGTAGGTTTTTCTTTCCTAGCCATTTTTCCCGGGCAAGGTAAAGCATGCATTTTACTAGCCTGCAGTAGTTTGTACCAGACTTTGCACGCTGGTCTAGTGCTATGGTCAAGGCCTGTCTATATTATCAACACGTGTTAACCAATGCAGTAATTGCTCCATTCTGGAATGGTTCCTGTGCAGAAAAGAGGGACTGAGGAACGGGATGGGCTAATCCCCCTTCCCTCCCCCCCCAAATTCTATGTGTAGGAAATTCCCATGTTGCAAGGCAATGTGGGTACATGTACATGTACCGGTAGCTTACTGCTCTAATCAATATATGTCTACCAACTGTTGCATAAACACCTGATGGGGCTCTCTCAAGCAGTTGATGCTCCTGCTTGCATGGGTGCAGTGCTACCGGTAAGCTACCTTTTTAAACTAATCTTTTTTATCTACTTCTATCCAGGTTGATTTTCATAATTTGGATCCTTCCGTGGCCGAAATGAGGGGCTACTGTGATTTACAGCTTGGTGAAGATTCTACATAAATCTGCATCCCTCGACTACTGCACAAATGCCCGATCTCATGCCATAAATTTGGTACATACTCTGCATGTACAATTCATGTGCACACAGAAATGTTAATCTGGTTATTGTTGAAACAAATTTTAGCCATTGATGGCTCAAGGAAATTACATTGTGCATCCTGAAGAAACTAGCCTCGCTCTCGGTGGATGGGGGAAAGTCCTCACTGACATGATGTGCCGACACAAAGTGATACTTCTGTGCCTGTCTTACACCGATAATGTACTATTCTGGATAACTCTCTTTTTCACAAACTGACAAACAGGTACTGCATCTGCACTCAAGACATTTTTCTTTTCACGTACTGTAACTTTTCTTGGTTTCCAAAGTTATTAAGATTTTAGTTAATTACAACTATATTCCAGAAATATATACGGATTGAGTATTCATGTTAAACTTTTTAAAGCATTCTTCTCCCAACATGACCGAAAACTTTAAAATTCAGGCCAATGAGTAAAAAACTCACAAACCTTCATTTTAGTATGTGGAGCCAAAGTTATGCATTGCACAGTCTTCACATAGAGTACCCAAACAGCACTTGGGTGTTAGTTTGTGAAGATGGTTAAGTGTTACATAACACAGCATCCGTTTCACTTCCTGCCAAAGCAAAAGACATGTTGCTCACCTCTCCTCCTTTCTTCCACCGGGCAAGCTCCTCCCGAAACTGCGCGTCTTCCTCCTCTTCAGAGTCTGCCGCTTCGGGTTCCTGGCCGCCGCGTCTACCCACGTACTGCGGCGTGGCGTTAGAGCCCACGGCCCCCTTGCCCTTGTGTTTGGTGGCTTGAACCGGCCGGACGATTCCTTGGTTGGCTTTGCCTAGACCCTTCCCTGGGATGTAACCCATCTGGGAAAAAATAAGGGATAGTATACACTTAGTTGCAGGTTCAATGCTACAATATCCATGGGAAAGATAACGTACAAATTAATAGTCGGTGACCCTATACCTCCAGGGTGTTTTGGCAAGAAACCTTGCAAGACACGTCAATCTGCATCATCTGTCAAAGTAGCTTGCCTGCCCTGTGCAACGAGATCCAACGGAGATCGACCATCCTCAAGGCCAAACAGCCTGGGGGTTTGTGGTTGCCAGCCACCATAAGATCTTTGTTAGTCTCTTTTGTAGAGTTATGCGCGCCTTTTTAGGTGGATCTGTGTAGAAGTATTCATAAAACTGTGGACTCTTGATCAAAGATGACCAAATCAATTCTTAACAGCAATTTTCATATCTGTGTTCAAAGAAACGTTGGTTCAAAAATTTCCAATGTTTTGCATTAAATACAGATGCTAATTAACCTCAAATTTACTGCCACTGCATATGCACTGTTCCTGATGCACGCTGTCATCTGGATACATGTAACACCAGTCGCTCTTGACCCAAACTGTTCTTAATCCCCAAATCCTGTGAGTGTTTTTGAAGGATTTCAGAAGATTGAAGCTGTCTGGCAAAAGTGAGGAGCTGATTTTGAAGGATCCACAGTGTCAAAGTTTTCAGCCGAACCTTGTGTTCTGTATGCTCGGTCATGCACATATTTAAGAATACTTTATACTGGATATCATACGCACTTCCTCAATATAAGGGATAAAGGGATTGCCAGAGGATTTCAAAGGATGGGGGCAGTGCTCACCCCTCCAAGGAACACATTGAAAAAGTAATATAGACTTGAAGCATTGGGGCTATGTCCAATTTTTACCAGGGACGCAGTTGAAGGACTGAGGATGCAGCCTGGCAAAATGGACTTACAGGTCTGTTCCCACTTGACCAAATCTCAAGGGAGTAGCCTTGGGCGATATGGGGTGAAAATACCCCCCTCCCACCATCCCCGGGAGTGAAGAACCAAAAGTCTCCCCAGGGTACCCCGGAGTAATCCTAGGGCAAATTCGCCCCTAGGGATGGATGTTTAAGTGAGAAAAAGGCCTTACGAGGTTAGGGTTAAAGCAAGTTCGTGCCTCTCAGCCAAGTGGAAATGTCGAGTTTTGGATCAGTAGCTTACCTGAAGGAGCAGCTTCTCTCCGAAGCCCGTCGTGTGCTTCTGCCAGTTCCCAAACTGCTTGTCGGACTTCATCAGCTCAGCGTGCTTCTTCTGTGCATTGGTCATGACCTTTGAACTCTGACCTTTGGAAGACCCCTCAGCTCGCAGAGGCAACTGGTATGAGATGTCAGCTTTGCCATCCTTGTTTTCATCATTCTGTGTTGAAATTGGAAAGTGCAATTGCAATTCTTTTGGACAGTGAATGCAAAAACTTACTTAGGATGTTATGACTTATCCACCAAAGCTGAATATGTGATGCCATAAAAAATATTAGCCTTTTGTTGACCCTAGGTATCTTGGACATTTTTATTTATTTGAAAAGAGCACAATGTCATCTTCATTGCTTGGACACGACCCTGGGTTGGTTCCAAGTATGGAAGTTGAGACTTAAAACGATGGGATGCTGGGATTGAAGATTTTCAAAAATGTTGCCATAATGACACATCTGGCTTGACTGCATCGCATGCATTACCAGAAATATCACAGTTTGGTTGCTTGATATCAAACTTTAAATATTTTTGTAATATTCTTCAAAAATCTTATACACATTGTGTTCAAGCCATTTTAGGTTGCTGAGCTTTCATAGACTCTCGTGGACATTCATAATGCAACGATCAAACTAAGTTTAAGATGCGTACTATCTCACTAACTGGAGTCTGGTTACCTGTTCACCTCCTGTAACTTCTGTACTGATGAAGTTCAGGTCTCCTTGGCCACGCCGACCAGATGAACCAAATCCTTGTCTTTCTTCTGGTTCGTCATCACTGTTGGCCCAGACACCTGCAATATTGTTTAAAAATTTGTAATTTCCTATTTGAAAGTGAGCATTAACTTATGTTACTATACCTCATACATATTCATGACGGATCGGCAAACTCTCATTGGTGCATTCAAGGTCACGCACCAGCCACTATTTTTGCTGTTTGTCAAGCGCACATGTGATTGTTCATGCAAAGAGTAAATACGCATAAGTTTTTAACTGTCCCCCTGCTTACCCAGGCGATACTTGAAAACGCGTGCGCAGTAGCAGAAAATCCAGAAGCTGTACTGCCCGGGTGTACTGTGCACTTGTGGTGGCGCCAGCCCAGCAACAATACGCAGCTCATATGAAAAGATGGTGGCACACATAAAAGACAATCAGCGTTTTCCTCAGCTGAGTGACGCCGAACTGGAAAATGTTGTGGGCAATAGGGACGCCTCGTCCACTAAGGTTGTCCCAAATGCGGCGGAAACGCTCAAACATTACTGTGTCGAGGGTACTAGTTTGTTAACTCTCAATACCTCAGGGAACTAACATCGACGGTGCAACCTCAAACCATGTTATATTTGTATAATTTATATAAAAGACATCTCAACACTGACATGTAAGTTCTAGTCTTTTCTTTTTCAGTTCCAACTTTCTTCCACAGACAGTATATTACATTATTTCACAGGTGTACAAATGGTGGTGTAGCAATGCCATAGGCCTACAATAACCAAGGCTCCTTTAATCAGTCAGTTTTGACGGTGCAATTGTCAACAGGTAAAGAGTTCCATATATAAACATCATTTGGCACCCTGCGCACAAACCCTAGTTTGAGACTGTGTTTCTTGCTTTCATGACCCTATATGGGTTACATTTGGAAGAGTAAGAGTAAATCAGGAGAAAAATGTGACTTTCTTACATTTGTCTTGTCAATGTAAATACACGGTCAACTGGACACATACACTCATGGCAACTGTGTGACCTTTGGTAACGTGCGGCTGTTCTCTTTATATTCTTACTCCCTAATTTGTCTTTCTCATGTTTCCAACCAATCAGAGATCCACTTTCTAAGGAAACTTTCCAGTAACCAATCAGCGACACTCTACCAAGCAGATTTTACAATGTCACTGTGTTTATTTATTTATTCTGGTTTATTGAACTTTCCCATCGCAGCCCAAGGGCTGAATTGAGGGCAAGTTTACAATCAGGGTGTTAAAAAGAGCAGTAAAAACGTTAATAAGTAAAAAGGAGGAAAAATTAACTAAAAATCACAAAAAGCTCAGATAAAAACAAACAGACTAATATTTCAAAAACAGAAAACAAAAAACTTGCAAATTAAAAAAACCCCAAACTTCCAACAATCAAAGTTAAAACCGGAGTTAAAAAAATTTCAACAATTTGCACTCAATAAGTTTACTAAAAATGGGATGGCACTGTTTTTGTACCTGTTTGTACGATATCTAGGGATGGACAAAGTGTTTGTGTTGCATCAACCAATCAGAGATCAGCTTTCAAATGAAACTTTTTCGCTACCAGAGAGAAAAGAAGGGTAGGGTTTTGAGTTTTGAGGGAAATTTTGAGGGGAAACTGCGAGTGGTTTAATACATGACACATGGTGAATTCAAATTTACATGGTTAGTTTATCACTAAAAAAGTCACATTTTCTTACAATTTACAATTTGAAATTTCCAAAAAATAGGGTCAACGCAATAAAGAGAGTGTTGCCTTTGTTTTTTTGGGGGGGGAGGGGGACTTACCAGTTTCGCAAGATTAACCCCTTGACGACGGGAATTTCTTCCCGAAAGCCGACTCCAAGAATTGCAGCCTCGCTTGGCCACGAAGGCCACCTGCCAAACCGCAAATTCTCGGTTTGTGGCCCTGCGTGCTTTGCACGCTTTGAATTACATGGTGAAAATGCTGATTGTTCGGTGGCATGCGGCTCTACTCACCCTTCCACATTCTCGTTGCCTCTTTTCAAAGTGGGGACTATTGTGAAGCTGATGATTATGATGCAAAATCGGTCTTTTCATTTCTGGGCTACGCACAAAGGCCAATTACCATATATACAAGAGCCAGGGTCTTCATTCTTTCACCGTGTTCGCTCGAGCATGGGCCAAAAATAATAGCTGAAAAGCGGGCTGAGGATCTCAATTTTTACGGTGGGTATAGCCGCCTCCCAGTGCGAAGGGGTTAAAATGTCAAAAAACTGGGGCATGTTTGGGGTCCTCAAGTACATGTAAAATGGAGGCTTTGCCGACTAGGCCTATATAATTCAGATTCAGATACAATCCCCCTGAAATGCCTTGAATTGGAGTATGTAATAAAACATGTAAAATGGAAGCAGATTTACATTTTGAGGTTACCAATCGTTACAATTTCCCATGGCATAGGATTGATAAATTGAGCACAAAATGCATTGCTTCAATGCTTGTTGTCATCCTTACATGTACTATGATGTAGGCCTACATGTACATCATCCATACATCATTCCAATTTACATACATGTACGAGTACATCATCATGATTGCATTGCCAATGGAATGTCGAGAAGTCATTTCTACCATGCATCAGACAGTGTCTACCTCCATCATGTTCCTACCATAAATTGCTTGCGCCTTTGTCATTCGCCTCCTTGGTCTATCGACATTGAACTCATTCAATAGGTCGTAGTCCGTGATCTCAAAGTCTTCCACTTCCTCCTTGTCAGAATCCATGGTTAGATGCTGCAAAAATGCTCTCCACCAACAACAAAAGTCAATGCAGACGGCAAGTTCTCGCAGTTCCTATCCCAAGTTGTTCAGCAGTCAGGTTAAATCCTCCGGATTTGGCTTCGCCCGACCATGGAGGAAGGAGGGGATGGTCCGACCGGCTGGACATGTACTTGAACGTCTGGGAGCCAAACATTAGTGATAAGTGATGCACAGGGGGCGCTGTGCAATTTTAACAGTGTGAATTCATGGCGGGGCCCGGGGGGGGGTAGGCAAGTATATGAGAGATTATTAGGGGAAATGCCCAGCTTCTGTGATAATTTGCTTGAGCATGGTTGCAGGCACTAAAAGATATTAGGGAATTAATTATCATGTTTACTTAAACGTTTACTCTTCCAATTTATCATGGGATCCATTATTTGATCAAAGTCTCAATTTTCTGAGTGCATTTGTTGTATCATGAGATTTAGTTAAGTTCCTTCCTCCCTGATTACATTGGGCAAAACGACTGCCTGCATGACACTTAACCCTCAGCACACTGACATAAATTCTTAAAGTTGACCTGGAAAGTTGATTTTCACACCAAAACTTGTCAAAATGATCGATTTGTTCATAAGATTTTACTGGAACAACTGAACACTCGGTACATAAATTTCCTTGAGCGTCCATAACACAGAAAATGTCGGGGGATCTCACAGACTCCTTGAAGGGGGTAAACTATGTGTCACTGTTACACTCAACTGCCCTACCTGCTGGAAGAATAGTACAATCCAGCACGTCATAATCGAAGCCATGCAAGCGCGCCGGCTCGCCGGCACATATACATACACAATTAAGTACACAAACCCAATACGTATACGCTACATACGTAGCCGATCCATCCAGCAAGCAAGAAGAGGGGATCGATCGAGGGTTTGAAATCAATAAGGTAACGAAACTAAAATCACTTTTTCACTAAAATCACTAAAATCAATTTGATGAACGCGATGAGCTAGGTTGTGATGTCTGAGAGTGTCGCCTGGTTGTAATTAATGGAATCGTGGTAAAACAGGGTGATTTTCTGATCCTTTGGACAAGAAATATTGGGTGTGTAACTTGTGCAGGCATTTACTACTACGGCGCCTCGACCCTACGGTACCGCCGGCCGGATCTTGTGAAGGGCGAATTGACCGGTACCGGGTCATGCTTAGTCAGTTTGCCCTGTTGCAGTTTATTCATAGATCCGCTTTCGGCCATATTTTGGTACAGGGCTGATCCGGTTCACTGTTTCTAGCTATGCCCGGCGCTTTTGTTTCATTGCCATGCATGCCATATTGTATACAAACACGACAGTTATGATGAATTTGCTGTTGGGGAAAAATCCTGGCATTCATCGCGTACAACTATTGTACGTGTACATATCACATCAGGATCTAGTGCAGTGTATGATCATTCAACCATAATAATCACTCCCAACGCATGAATGCACAACTTAAGTGATAGCCATGCACTTTTGACAAATGTTTAAAACAATATTGACATTGAAAAACTTCTCTGATTTAAGAAAAATACCTAAAGGCCTGCTTAAAATCCATGTTAAGCTTGTAGTGTAAAATGTTATCGGAAGAATTCCATAGATGAACATCACTAATTTTCCCTACAGTGGAATATTATTATCAGCCATCAGAAAGTTGTGAAAAGGCAGGAATTTTTGTATTTTTATGACATAAAAGCCCCCTCAAAATTTTAGTCACTTCATTCAAGACTGATTAATTATTTGGTTGGTTTTGCTTCTCTTTTATTGAATTGAGCAAATGGAAAGAGTCCTGCATCTGGCCTCCATGATTTTGGTGTTTCATAGACACCAAATTCAAAACTGAATCCCTTTTCTTGCTAAAATTCCCTCTCAAAAAAACAAATGACAGGCATCCCTTTTTAAACTTGTTGGTGTTTATGAAACTCAAAAATTATAAAGGCCAAATGTGGTACTATTTCTGAGAACATGGATTTGAGATGCTGTGTGTTGTTTGCTTACAGTTGACTTGTTGAGGTTGCTACGTGTGAAGGCACGCCAAGATGGCCGAAGCCCACGCTGCTGTGGCTTTCCAGTTCACGGTCACCAATGAAGGGATCGACTTCGACATCAACCATGAGGCTTTGAAGGCTGTCTTTGAAAGTGGCATGCGGTCATGGGTCAAGAGATTCAGACGTTTCCAGGTAAATTTCTTGAAATAGCTGCTCCTGTTTTGTGAAAAAAAGTCTCAATCATATCTAAGGGTGGAACGTTTACACGTTTAAAGATTGAAATGAAAACGGTTCCAAATCTGTGTACTACAGTTTTCCCAAGCCTTTACATGCAACCCCCCTTTTAGAGGTATGGCATTTTAGTGATGCAATCTGACATTCATTTTTATTGTAAACGCTGAATGTAAGATGTTATTTGATTTTCAGAACATTTTAATGCATGATCATTTCAAAAGGACCACCTTGAATTCATCACTGGAACTTTGTGTCAACTATTTACATTGTACTGTATACAATTTGTTGTGTTCAAAGCTTTCGTTGACACCATGGTAAGGGTGGGAAGTTTACATGTTAAAACGTTTAAATATGGGAAAGTTTATTTAACTTTTTCAAATTAAATTTAAATTTCCACGCTTAATTATATCGAACAGTGAATTATCATTTGTAAGAGATTTCACATCACATCTTTCAAGAAAATTACACGCTCACTTCAGTACAAACAGGACACTGGAAAAATTAATGAGTCATTATTTATGGCAATAAAGCTTTAGAAAAGGATACAACATTTTTTAAATATGGGAAAGTTTATTTAACTTTTTCAAATTAAATTTAAATTTCCACGCTTAATTATATCGAACAGTGAATTATCATTTGTAAGAGATTTCACATCACATCTTTCAAGAAAATTACACGCTCACTTCAGTACAAACAGGACACTGGAAAAATTAATGAGTCATTATTTATGGCAATAAAGCTTTAGAAAAGGATACAACATTTTTTAAATATGGGAAAGTTTATTTAACTTTTTCAAATTAAATTTAAATTTCCACGCTTAATTATATCGAACAGTGAATTATCATTTGTAAGAGATTTCACATCACATCTTTCAAGAAAATTACACTCTCACTTCAGTACAAACAGGACACTGGAAAAATTAATGAGTCATTATTTATGGCAATAAAGCTTTAGAAAAGGATACAACATTTTGAAATTAAAATGGACTTAATTGTTAGTGTGGCAGGAACTTCTGAAAGCATTGAGGTCATTAAAGTCTGTGGTGAGGGAAAACTGTAGTTGCTTGCTGTAATGCAGACATGCTTTGTGTCGTCAAGGAAGCACAGACAGGATGTGAGCTTATATTTGTTGGATTCATTTCCTCCAACTTTGCTGGGGCTTTGAAAGGGAAACTTTCCAGGAAAGTGAACCTCACTGGGAATGTACATGTAGATCTTCTTTCAATTTTTGAGATTTTTAGGCTTAAAAAAATGCAACTGCACTGGGCCATGTGCAAATCTGTTACCAAGTTACCTGCCGACTTCTCAAAGCCGAATTTTATGTCCTTAATATTTCTGGAAAGCTTGCTGTATCCTCCAGAATTGTTGATAGGTGTTAACTTTTAATCCTGAAAAACCCCAGCCAGCGAAACTCTCAACACCAGAGTTTGTAGGAATCGGTTAGGATGAGTACTGCACTAGTAAACTGATTAAGTTTTATGTGGAACAGGTGTATTACAAATAAACACAGTCCAACTGTCCATGTGCGCAGTGTACTGAATATTTGATGTTGGCATTTGCAAGGCTGAAGAAAGTTCCAGGTGAATGACCTTGGGCAGATGGGGTTTGAAGTATTTAAAACATGTAAAAATGACTTTAATCAGGTTCTAGTGCTGTGCAATGTTCAAAGGAAAAGATATTAAAAAAAAAGGAAATCAAAAGACTGCAACTTGAAAAACGCAATCAATTTTGGCTTTCCAAAAAAATGCTTCTAAAAAGTTTTAAATCCAAACACTTACAAAATTGTTGCTGTCCATATGTCTACATTGTCAATGCTGAATGAGATGGCATGAATTACATTTGTTCTCGCATCAATGTACATGTATGTTTCGTTGTTACATTTCTCAAAACTGTTTCCATACCGTTGTTTCCATTGTCTGGGGAGTTACTAAGTGGGTGTTTGATGTTTACAAGTATGGTATCCGGTTGGACACGTGGATACTCTGTACAGATCTCATCTTTATTCCTACAATTGCCCACAACTTCTGGTGGATTTTGAACTTGCAATTTTTTAGCCTTGAGAGAGAATATGGGCTGTTTTTATTTTTTAGGAATTGTCAAAAACAGCCGGCATTAAAAACATTCCTAGCTACAACCTTGATTTTGAAGGATGTGGGGAAGTTCAGAATATTGAAATAATAGATATGACTGGAACTAACACATTGGTTCTCCTTCCACAAGGGGTTTCTCTCAAAACTATATTGGATTACCAGAATTGATCATTGTAAAATTGTCATTTGAACACAAATTCTTGATACAGAATGGTATGGTCAACACCACCTATCCTGCCAGTCCGTTGAGCTGGCTAGCCGTCCTGACAGCGGTGACGGCTTGTTCATTGGCGCGTGTGGATCCTTCCATGGGGATGATTGAGAAGCTCAAGGAGAATGTCTTACCAGTGTAAGTCTCTGTGTCACTTCTTCTACATGGGTCCCACTGTACCCAAATCTGGCTGAGTTTGCTTGATTTTGAAAAATTTGGAACTGATTTTTTTTTGACTGCATTAAATAGTTGTTATACCATGGGAGTGTCAATTGTAAATTGCCATCACAGTTGTCAACAGTATCACAAGTCACCTTGTCACATCATATCAGTCTTTTCCATGTACTTTGTACTCACCCACGAACCATATACATGTATTTTTTTTACTGAACTTAGTATCTGTTGGAGTTCAAGAGTTTAAATTGATGTTGGTTTTCAATAACCTTCATTTTTAGTATTTCTTGAACCACTTAGGTTATATACTTGTACATTTAGTTTTGTTCAATTCTCCCATAAATGTCAAGTTCACATTAGAAATTACCTGTTTTGTTCAAGCACCTTTAAGCATTGAAATCGTTTGCAAAGAAAAAAAAAATGGTGCACTTACTTTTACGTCATTTGATCCCAGGGACTATCTTGGGCCAGCGCCTACCATCTATCTCTCCACGGTCATCTTTGCCACGTTCCTGTGGCTGGCTATCATCTTCACGTTGCGGTTCATCCTGAAGCGTCTGCTCTCCTATAGGGGTTTCATGTATGAGGTGCGAGGCAAAGTGTCTATACAGACCAAGATCTGGGCTGTAAGTATATTTCTAAAGACCTCTATGTCCACTCAAAGTAGCTGCATACAAAGATGATAAATATCATTTTACTAACAGTTGGGTCAGACGCTTTCATCCTAGCAGAAAAGTGTCTCAAGTGTTCAAAAAAATACCGGACTTGGCAACTAGTACAATTTTATTGTATTTTTAGTCCGATTTTTCCAATTTTTTGCAGCAGAAAATCGGAGTAGTTCGATTTCTGAATTTTGGGGTCAAAAGAAAATCAGCTTTTTTTTTTTCAAAAATCAAACAAACAAATCATCCATTGGTTTACACTTTACTCGCCTCCTCGCACCACAATGCTTTTTCGTTCGGCACTTGGGCTCTTTAAAACCGATTATCAGTTGAACACATACTGCGTCAAGGTATGCATTCTTAAACATGGAGTTTTCCTTGAAATTCTTGTCTTGTCTTCCTTCAGATGCTTTTGAAGTGTTTTGTAACGAGGAAGCCTCGTCTGTTCAGCTATCAGAACGCACTGCCTAACTTGCCTCTGCCATCATTGCATGACACAATGAGAAGGGTGAGTCTGAGATCCCTTTTCCAAACAATATGCAGAAGTTTGACTTTGGAGTAAACAGCAAAGGCACTGTCTTATAGCTCCAAGCATTTTTCAAATTGCCTTTATGCAGGTGATTCTCTTGAACCCATAAGTTTTGTCATGGATTTCTGATTTTCTGTGAATTCTTTCTTTAGAATCACAATCTAGAACTAGTTTTATTGACTTATTGATACAAACCAGTTTTCTTAAAGATTGGCTGAATTGTTTCAACATGCTTTTGAACATTTAGAACCACTAAAACAATCATAACCAACATAAATTACAAGGTAATTACTCTGACTTCTCTTTATACTGCATCTGCAGTCATCTCCAATTGTTCAGAATGTTCCCTGACCTTATATGTATATAAAGACCTGTGTTGTAAATCACTCTTCTAATGTCTTTGATACAAGTTAAAATGTTAGAAATTAAAACTCGGTGCACTCAGTTCTTATGTCTATATCAGCAGCTCTGAAAATTGCTGAATTAGTGTAACTTGGTTCTCTGTGATGTTCGCAGTATCTGCTCTCTGTGCGTGGGTTTCTCAACGACGAAGAGTTTGAACAGATGGAGCTTCTTGTCAAGGACTTTGAGGTGGGGCTTGGTCCGCGCCTGCAGCGCTACCTCCGGCTGAAGTGGTTGTGGTCTGTCAATTACGTCAGCGACTGGTGGGAGGAGTATGTTTATCTGAGGGGGCGGGATCCAATCATGGTTAACAGCAACTACTACGGAATGGTGAGGCTCCGTTGAAAATTCTAAAGAGAGATTTTAGTTCTTTTATTTAAAAAAAAGTTGAGAGGAGGTAAGACGTGTTTAGTATTTTGCCCCCCATGTGTGGCTGATTTTATCCATTGATATTTGTGGAATGATTTCTGCACATTTTGCTCTGAATACAAGAGCTTTGAATGTACTTATCACTTGCACACATTTAACAAAAGAAATAATGTTAGGTATTTTGGAAATTCAGATCACTTTGCTTGACCATGTGTTCAGTTTTTACAAATTGTCTGCAACAGCACCGTCAGAGAATTTGGAAACTTCAAGAACTTCCATTTAATTGCATAGCTTGACCACTTTTGAAAAGCTGAACAAGAATGTTTCCCACAATCCATAATGTATTCCCAGCTATTTGCAAGAACCTGTATGGAAATATTTACCAGGATTTTGTAGCTTGGACTTAAAGCTATGAATTTTTATCAAAAGTGCTAATGTATGTGGAGCTGCCCGAAACTCTAAACCCAACAACTTGTCAACATTTGAAAGTCCCTTGTTTTAAGTTTTAATTTCGGAATATATGTTAGCCTTTCCATCCATCTGATATCTGCAGGATTCCATAGCCATGCAGCCGACCAACATACAGGCGGCACGGGCGGCCAATTTCACCATCAGCCTGCTGCGCTTCCGCCGCGAGATCGAACGGGAGACCCTGAAGCCACTGATGATGCAAGGCATGGTTCCGCTATGTTCCTACCAGTACGAACGTCTCTTCAACACCACACGCATGCCGGGTCTGGAAACAGACACCCTGGTCCACCATAAGGACAGCAAGCACATTGTGGTCCTCAGCCGGGGCCGCTTCTACAAACTGGTCTTCCAGGTGAACGGCACCATGCTAAGTCCAGCCGAACTTCAGAAGTACGCTATACGCTTTCATTTCAATTACCAAAGAAATTTGATACTGGAAATAGAATATTTCAAATCTCTTTGCAAAATCTCAAGAACACACTGCTACAAGTCACTTGTGGGCATGTTTTGAGGTCATGGTTGATCCTGTTTTTAACCTTTAACCTTTGACCTTGCAGGCAGTTTCAGTGGATCATTGATGACCCCAGTGAACCGATGGAAGGGGAGGAGCATCTACCCGCCCTTACGGCTGGTGATAGGTACAATACAGCTCTTTGTTTAAGCCACATACCCGCCACCCACAAAACGCTGCAGACTGCTTTTACAGTAATTTGAAGTTTTCAGCCGATTTCACAAACACAGTGTGAATACACCTGCTCGAATTATTAAAGCATATTTGTGGTCAAGCTGCAATGTGTATGCATAGCTCTGAAATGAGTTGAATGCTTGAAAAATCCTGGACAGGGGTGGTCACAGCATTTATGATTGATGTTTCTTTACAGCTTTCATACAGAATTTACTAAGCCTTTGTGTGGTCTTTTTTTTCTCTGAAGCACACAGCAAATATGCAGATTCTTTCATGGGCAAATAGTAGACTGCCCTTAAAAAAACTTGTGATGATTTCTAATATGAACCTTGATCGGTTGAAGAGTTTTACGACAATTATAACTAAAACTGTCATGTGAGTTACACCATTACATGAAGCTTTTTAAAATCGCTTGCAGTTCAGGGCCAAATATCAAGGCTCTGTTTACTGACACCCCAAAATCCTGTTGCTAATTATAGTAGAAAAAGCTGCACTTCCACCAGGAATTTTGGCTTGAGAGCCAATGTACAAAAAATACCCAAAGCAAGGTTGCTGTGCTTACAAGGCTGTGGCAGAATTTCTTTGCCAGCTCTAGCAGCGAGAACTGTCTTTAATGGCCAAGGTGTACTATTTTATGATGTGTTGATAGAGCTTATGAATTAAGAATTCAACTAGGAGTTTACTGCAATGAAATTACAAGTTTGAGAAGGCTTGCAGTTTTTCTTAAATAATCAACCTATATAGTCCGCAAAAAATAAATTGGGCAAGATATCTCATTATATACAGAGAATACACAGTATATGCCTGAATTGGAGGAAGGAACCTTACCAGGTTTCTTGGATAAGGGTTGATGTAATGTCTGAATGTTAATGACTCCAATTAGGATCCCTTGGGCACTGGCTCGGCAGAGGTTCTTCACACGAGGCGTCAACAAGATCTCCCTGAGGGCCATCGACACCGCCGCCTTTATGGTCATCCTTGATGAAGAGGAACAAGATTACGATACCGTGAGTGGCGTAAACCATGACTCCAGACCTTTGACCTCTACCTGGCAGATATGACGCAGCTGGTACTGGAACACATTCCTGTGAACAGCCATTGTGTAATATGTAGGCCTGAAAAAGTGATTGACCTTTGACCTGACCATGGACAACTTCCATTGGCTGACACCATAGCATTAGGAGACTGTGTTATATTCAGAATTGAATGAAATGCTTTTTAGCAAGGAATGCATTGGCACCAGTGTTAATGCAGTATGCTTAATTACCCAGTTCTGGAAAACTCTGATGGCGCCAGACTGCCTTGTATGATTTACTGCAGTCAAGTAGATTGTATTGCAACGCTAGTATGCATTTGAACAGCTGACCTGCTATCTGCTATCAAGATGGCTAGCTCTTGGCAGCATTTAGTTTTTTGTGAGATTGAAAGCACTGCATGTCAGAAACGCTAGAATTTTTTTCTGTCAAAAAAAAGCTTGCTCATAGTCGCAGCACGCTGAAATTCCAATCGCCATGTCCGTGTGTATAACATCCACTCATCTTACTGTTGTGAACAATTCATGCTCCATCTCATTACAGTTTTCACAGTGTCCACTAAACTGTATTGCCTGAATCATAAAGAGTTATGTTACAAAAACCACAAGGAAACCATTCTTATTTTCTGAGAGAAATCACTCTAAATGCAGTTCTTTTACACCAGCCCTCCAAGCAATAATGATTACCCTTTAACAAAAAATACAGATGGGGAAGACAGTACGCTCACAATAAGATTTTTATTGCTTCATATGAGTTGCCTTGCAATAACAGTCCATTTTCTTTTTTTCTGTTTTGGCAATTGACATCGGCAGGTGGAGGTTAGAGTGGTACGGTGCTTTTAAGGCCCTAACCATCAGTGCCTAGTTTTACATGTCCTCCTTTTCTCCATTCAAGAATCTGACACTGGCTCCAAACATTCTCTTTTACCTTCTTTTCCCCTTCAACTTAACCCAGAGGCCCAGACAATCTTCATTTGATTCTAACATGTCATTCAAGTGTGAAACCAAAGAATAGATTAAGAAACATGCTGCTTATTTTTTTTTTACTGATAGGTTTTCCTCTTTCAGCCATGTTGGACACGTCCCTTTGAACTGGGGATTTGATCCTTTTTGACCTTTTAAAATCCTTGTCATTAAGGGTTCCTTTGTATCTTGAAGGGAGTAATAATGTTTACTTAATTTTTTTTCTCCGTTTATTCACTTTCAACTTTGCACTCAACTATTATGTGTAAGTGTGAATTTTGGGGAAGAAATAGGATCGTAGGGAAACGTTTCCTCAGAATTCTTGTGTCAAAGCAAACAGGTCCATCTTCATAACTCTGCAGTCTTACAGTGCATGGTGTGGTGTTTTGTTGTCTTTTACTTCTTTTGGGGCTTCTTTTCAGCTCATGAGTGCCATTTCACAAATTCATTTGGTTTGTTTTTCTGTCCATCTTTCTTTTATTTTGCTTCTTCGTACATGGGCCTATCTTTTCCTGTTCTTTTCCCATCTAACCACTACCACTGATCGAATGAATGCAACCAATAGGAACCTCTGAAGGGAATACTGGCCAATCAAACCCTGCCACCGTGGTATAAAGGGCTCCCTCAGGAATCCACAGACAGCCAGGTAACATGGAAGACCAGTATTTCCACAGAGTTGGTGTGCATGTGTCGTTTGATTCAAACTCTCAATGCCCAATTTGGTTTCCAAACAATTCAAAGATAGTAGCTAAGTTTCCCCCTTTCCGAATGCAGAACGTTTGTTGTTTGTTACTAAAAGGCCAACAAACTCAAAGACTTACTTGGAAATTTGAGTAATTTTGATCCTTCTCAGTCACATGTTCATTTTCCACAAAGTTCCAAATACACCTAATGTAATGGTGTTAAAATTACACTTTTGTTCTTAACTGTGTAAATTAAAGATTGTTGTGTCAGGTCAAAATTGCACATGTTTTTGTGTAGAGGTTGGAAAGAAGATATACCCCCCCAGAAACAAGGATGGAAAATGAATGGAAATTGAGACATGGGAATCATTTGCTTTGCAATTCTCCCCAAAAAGCATGCCTTCCTTTTTTTTCTTGCTTGGTTTTGGTTTTAAGTTTCCTCTCTCTGGCATTCTCTTTCAGTGGTCATGGCTGACGTCACTTGTTTCATTCAACATTCATTCATTACATTTATGCAGTTCAAAATCTCATATTGTTACAATGAAAATGACCCACCGGTACCTGCGGAATATCTCTATTCCTGATCCGAAATGTAGGCACACGGGTAGTTTGGTTCGCAAAACAAAAAAATACTGTTTGGAAAGGCCTTTAGGCTTGATAGTTGCCATTGTCATGTGACTAAATCCAAATTCCCTCCATTTCTGAAAATTTCCAATAGTGGTTGCAATTTTCCAAACCGGTTTTGTTGACTTTTTGGTACTGTCTGCAATATTGAATTGGGTGTGAATGAATTGGTTCTCTTTACAGTTTTCCCAACATGCATCACAAAAAAACTTCCTTCCTATAAAAAAACTTCCTTCATTTTTCTTGCACGACTTTGTTTACCCTCACTGTTTAAGAAATAATGAACCTGTGCATGCTGCATCTAAATGTAGAAGGGACATTCTGGACATGACATCATACTTTATTTTTGTAAACAGTGGCTACCTGCCATACATATGATTGATATGGCAGGGTACCAGCTAAGAACCTTGATCCTGAAAAATTGTCCATTGCACAGGAAAGCCATTGGGGCATTTCTGAAATTTTCTTGGCTTCACTTTGCCATCCACAGTTTTACTAAATCCTCCCCACAACAGGGTTGTAATGTGGCAAACATTTAGGGTTTACAAACAAGATTCGTGAAATATTTTATGTGGGGATAAAAGTTCTTGCGCATGGTGAAGGCTAGTAACCCCGGAGATAACAGTTCTACTGGAAGGACTGTTTCTTTGGTAACTCTTCACCTGAGGGAAAGGAAGTCTGCTGTTGATCTGAAACTTTCTGAAATGTTTTGTTTGTCCTTTTGTTGTTTTTTTGTTGGGGGGTGTTTGTTTGTTTGTTGGGGTGTTGGGTTGTTTGGGGTTGTTTGTTTGTTTGTTTGTTTGTTTGTTTGTTTGTTTGTTTTGATTACAAGTTGCATTGTGTTGGCTGGCCAGTGTTTGGTTGATGTATTTAGTGCTATTGTATTGATAGATTACATGAATTGGCTTGCTGTGTTGGGTTTACCCAGCTGGATAGCTCATGTCAGTTTGCGGAATGAGCATCTAACACTCGCTAACACTTGGCAACTGTAAAGGCTCGCTAACAATCTACAACATACGTTTCAGTGACATGCCTTGCTTGCTTGCTGCACTCCTCCCTGCATGTACCCAGCTCTTACTCTAAATGCTCACAACTCTCATTTAGGCAGACATAAAAGCTGTGTAAAATACCATCCTGACGTTCAGTTTACATTGACAATGAATTCAGACTATGAAGCTACGAACGTCTTGACCATATTTGGTGCATATACTTAACAGAGAGAGACAGCAAGGGTTTCCTAGGTTAGAGTGGCAGTGTAGTTTATTGTAAGAAGTAGGACTTAGTTGTTGGATGAGGGTAAGGGACAGAGGTTGATGAGAAATAGGAAGAGGTCTCAACGCGGGATTTAATTTTCAGACTGAAAAATAATTTCTGACCCACCCAAACAAAAAATAACGAGTCGGATGTTAATAATTTTTCAGTTTATTTGGACCATTAAACAAATATTAATCAAAATCAACAAGAACTGTAAAAGTTTTGACCGCAGAAAGTTAGATTCAGCAGTTTAAGCTCTTTCTGAAGCATGTGAAAAACTAGACACTGATAAATAGTGTTCAAGACTCGTTTTTGTTGGATCTTTGCACTGTACATCTGCTGTCAGTCGTAATGTCTATCAAACTTCAAATTTTACGGTGTTCTTGATAAATCAGAAGTGTTGGAATGCAGTGAAGCCGGTGATATCATGGTCAGTTCTAGCTGATTCCAAGACTTTGTTGCCAGTTTATATGGTCAATTCATGGGTAGTTTTACAGATCTAAAACTGCTACAAGGTTTGACAGTTCTGAGTGCACCTTAAGTTTGGAGGATTCTTTTGATTCATTGGCAATTTGTAGTCTTAGATACCTAAATATCAATACTTCTGATTTGACCAGTGCTTCTTTTGTGTCAGCCCTGAAATTGTTAAAAATTTTTCTCTCTTCCCTTTCGCCTTAGTTTCCAACACCTCTCAAAGATGACTGGGTGAGTATACTTTTGAGAAAAAAATCCATCAATTAGTGAAGTACAAGTGCCTTGTTACCTACCGGGTATTGCAATCTAATTTGTATTGTTGCTTTTCAACTTCAAGACCTTAAAGTTTTGAGAAGGAAGCTACTACATAATTATTCACTGAATGTTTCTAAAGTGGTTTTTAAAAGATATTTAAATAAATATTAAGCTGTGAATTTGATGGAAAAACGTGCTGTAAATTATTCTGTTGAGGTTGTCAGACATGACAACTCTTCACAGGTACTGAATGAGGATCTGAAAAATTGCAACACTTCAGCGTTTAAAAGAAAAGAACCTTTCGCTCAGACAGTAGGAACATTGATTCAAATTTGAGTAGGATAAGAGTGGAAAGTGACATTTAATTCCAAGTATAAGTCAGTTCATTTCTCAGACAAAAGATGAATACATGTAATTGTTAAAGATTAAAACTAACAAACACTAGTTGGTGTCTCGGAATTCTTTCGAAGTTTTAGAAGTATAACGCGAGATCTTTTTATTTTGCTTTTAGAACCAGAATCGTAAGCTAGATAAGTTCAGCCACTCCTTGCTCGCTGGTAATGGATATAACCGTTGGTTTGATAAGTGCTTCAATCTGGTCATCTTCAAGAATGGACGCATGGGTGTGAATGCTGAACACTCGCTGTAGGTGTACCTGACCATTTGCTTGCAATTACCCTAAAAGTTTTGTTTGAATTTCCTGTTTGTTACTCAGTGGGTGGCTCAAACTCAGAGGGATGTTAAATTTTATTCTTGTAAGTTGATGAAGTTGTGAAGCTGAAGTTTCAATCCTAACAAATCTTTCTTGAAGGTAGTCTTGTATTTTCTCTGAGAAAGTCCTTCCATGGAGGCTCAGCTCTTGAGTCAATTATTCATGATTGACTGAGAACTGTTAAAAGTTCACATTTTAATAGTTAAAGGACCAAGATCTTTGTAGAAATTGTAGTCATGTCTATTCAAGTGTGTGTACTTGAATCTCAGCACTTCAGGCTTGGCACTGAAGTCTTGGTACTCAAGTTTCCATGCTTTTTCATGCTTGAGTCTCAAGAGTCAGAACATCTGAACCCAATGGAAAGTTGACATTGACCGTCCTTTTGTTGGCAGTGCGGACTCACCTGTCATGGCTCACCTGTTTGAGTACGCCTTTGGTGAGGACATCATGGTTATTGGGTACAATGCTGACGGTTCCTGTAAGGGGGAAGTGAAAGCCACCTATGCACCCCCCGTGCATCTCAAGTGGGAACTTCCAGATGAGGTAGGGTTCTACGTTATTTGCCATGTTCTTGACCTGGGATAGCCCCAGGAGTTATCAGTAAACTTTTCTTCCTAGGAGCCTGGTTGACAACAAATTAATGCTCAGTTTTAGAGATGTGTGGAAAACCCAAGATAAACATGTGGAAACCAACAGAATTATGTAGAGTGATGTCACGCTGACAGTCATCTGTTCCAGTTTGCAGTATGTCATGACCATATTCCATTTCAAGAAAAAAATGAGCAGGAGGATTTGATAATGAAAATAGGTAGCATAGCATATGCATTAAGCTGTGTTCTTTGGATGGAACATTCAACGTACCTCAAGGAAATGTGTGTGGCTTCTGTTGTGTGAAAATCCTTTCTTCAAAAACAAGAATTTGATGTGAAAAAAGTTCCTGTGTGATTGAGTAATTAACCCTCCTATTTTGACAGTTACAGTCTGAGATTCAATCAACCTCCTGTGCCATTTTACATACATCCCATGTCACTTGTTTGAGCTTGACTGGAAGAACAACTTTGTCCAGAATGAATGTTCAGTAGGGGGGTTAAGAAGCCTCACTCCTACTTTTAATTTGCTTGTGATGAAAAACTTCCAATTGTATCATTTAGTCCTCTGGATCTCGTGCTTCTAGGTGAGAACGGTGATGGAGACCAGCTTGGAGACGGCCAAGAAGATTGCAGACGATCTGGATTTCCACCTGCTGGTCCACAACCAGTTTGGCAAGGGGGCCATGAAGAAGTGTAAGGTCAGCCCTGATGCCTTCATTCAAATGGGCATGCAGCTGGCATACTTCCGGGTGAGTGTCTGCAGCAGTCGCTGCTTCTATTTGACATTACTTGCTGCATCTACTGCCCATGTTATTGTTGCTAAATATCAGGGCAAAGCTTGAGTGACGACCATAGTTCACTATACTTCGACCAATTTTGCCCCGAATGATGGATGGAAGGACTGTTTGGTTGGCCGCATGGAGACAATAAGAACCACAGGTATGAAAAGTTGGCAGAAATCGTGAACACAACAAGACATGGAACCAACACCAAAGTGCGAGTGATGGTGGGATGTCGTGAAATAGTTTCAACTAGTGTCATTCAAGTGGGCCTGCATTTCACATGTGCAGTGGCAAGAAGTAGTTGATCGAAGGTCGAACGGTAATTTGTGCCAAATATGCCTTTTGTTGCTGATGCAGCCAGCCTTCTTGATGCTAATGTCGCTGCTTATGGCATCTACCAGTGGTTCTTCCCTGCATATGTGCTGCTGTTTGTATTGTAGTGTTACCAGTTCTGCTAGTGCTAGTTAAATTTGTGGCTTCCTGCCACGCATTTCTGCTTAGTATAGACTCTGAATGTAGATGGCCAAAATTTAAAAAAGAAACCTTGTTTTACCCCATTGAAACAGATGTTTAGAGGAGTACATTGCTTGAACCATTATGTGGTGACTGTTAGCTCTCATAAAGCTGACTGACTGCCAGTAAACAACAAGCAGATGTAATAACCAAGCAGTGACCAAGATGGCACTTTACAATTTGTTGATCCAGGATGCTGGTAAGTTCAACTTGACCTATGAGGCATCGATGACGCGTCTGTTCAGAGACGGCAGGACGGAGACCGTTAGGCCTTGCACCATCAGCTCCTGTGACTTTGTGAAATGCATGGAAGATCCCTCTTCATCTGTAAGCTCATCTACCCCTTGGCAGAAAAGAAGGGCTTGATAATTAAATTTGCTACGTAAAACTTGGCAGGATACCTGTCTGTAGCAGTGTGCATCATGTGACATTTTAGGCTGGCGACTTCATTTTTTGGCAAGCAATGCTTTTCGGTGACTAGCACAGATGTATGGATAGATAATCCATATTTGTTACACCCAAGAAATTTAGCCGAGTTCTTCGTGAACCTCGTTGCTGATGGGGGTTTTGCGATGTGCCCAATTTTTAAAATGTTTAATTCTCTCGGCTCATTTTCAAATGATGTTGCCACATTTTCTCTTTGTAGAAAGCGCAGCGTCTTGCCGCGTTCCGGAAGGCGTGTGATGCCCATGTGGCTGGTTACCGCGATGCCATGTGCGGCAAGGGCATCGATCGTCATCTCTTTTGTCTGTACGTCGTCTCCAAGTACTTGAATGAGGAGTCTCCATTCTTGCAGAAGGTGCTTGCTTCCTTTTCCTTCCCTTGACCTAAATATAGCCGCAAATACAGTTAATGGGGAAATTATAAAGGGCACATATCCTCTGTCACTGGTGCTCCGTGTGCTTCGCCATGATCATCCTTGGTCACCTGGCCTATAGACATTTCCTGAAACCATCTGAGCTCCCTGGGGCATGTACAGCATGATGCTGCCATTTTAGGCGCAGACAACTCATCAAACGTATCAACCATCTCTGACCTTGGAGGGTATCCATTGATTCTAATGGGTGGAGACAGGTGAGTGAGGGTAAGGTGACTTGCCCCAGATTGCTGGCTTCGAACCCCATACCTATGATCAGGAGTTTCAAACCCTAACCATTAGGCCACACATTACTTCTCTTGGCTTCAAATCCATCTGTCAGATCCATGTGTCTCACTCTCTTTCAAGGGGGAATCAAAAGTGCTTTTGGTTGAGATCTGCTTTTGTTGACCCCGCAAAATCCTGTTAGATTTTCAAGGATTGGGGAAGATGAGGAATGACAAGAATTTCTGACTGACAGTAGCATCGGATTTGCAATTTGCAGGTGTTGAGTGAACCCTGGCGTTTGTCCACCAGTCAAACACCTCATCAGCAGATGAACAAACTGGACATCACCAAGCACCCTGAGTACATATCAGCTGGTGGTGGATTCGGTCCGGTATGTAATTGCCCTTTGACCTTTAGGGTCACATGTCAGTTCCTGCCTAGCCTAAGCACAGAACTGCTTATCAATCAGCAAATTAAATGTGCATGCATTGTACATAGTAGACTGAACATGACCTTGACTTCACTCATTACACGGACAGCGTCCTGATGATATGTCTGTGGTCAACTTAGGGAATGGGCACATACCCTGCTAATGTATAAATACTTGAACAGTTTGTCATTCCGACCAAAGAGACAATGAATCGTCACATTGTAAAGAAGCAAATGAAATGTACTAAGGAAGTCAGGTACAGCCTGTTTGCGTGTGCTCCAACAAATATATTTACATAACTATCCAATAAATGAAATAAAATAGGATTCAATATGTATCAGCTCAATGTGAATTTATAATTGGCTGTGCATTACCTGAAAGCAGAGTGAAGATTAGACGTTTTGGAAGATCAGTTAGTTTTACACTCGTTACTGTAGCCATCTTAATTGATTGAAGTTGTAGCCAAATTGTCACATTCCCAGAGAACAGCTGATAAAGTAAACACTGGGAACCTTTCTAAAACCCAGGTGGCTCGCGATGGCTATGGAGTGTCCTATATCATTGCTGGTGAGGACGTCGTCTTCTACCATGTCTCCAGCAACAATTCCTCAGCTAGTACGGTATGTACCTTGTCACAGACCTCCTACAGAGTGAATATTTCATGTGCACAGTTATGGGTGCGAAAGGCATTAGCACGAGAACCAGTGCGTGAACCAACATGTGCACACATTCCATTCATTTACACTACAATTCCTAATTGAAAATGACATCACACTTCTGTACTCTATAGCTTGTCAGTTACACTACTGTTGTAGCGGAAGGTTTATTTGAGCTTGGACTTTAAGTGGTCAATTAAAGTGTTTAAGATTTTGCCAATTCTTGGTAAGCATTTTTTTTTGTCGCTGATCAGCATATCCACTTCATTTACATGAACATGAAAATAAAGCTTTTCTAGTACAGCAGATGTTCAGATTGATCACCTTAATAAGAGGAATTTGTCAGGAATAATCAAAAACCATCCCCAATCAAATGATGTTGGAAAAATAAAGGTATTGTGTGAAAACACCTTTCGGGTATGTCTATCTTGTCTTTCGAAAGGTCAAAGGTTGAAGACATATTAACTTATTCCAACGTTTCTTTGTTATACATTTAAATCTTGCACTAATCGTTCGTTGAAGTTATGATTTCAGTGGCTCATTTATGAAATGCTTTGAAATTTCACTAGAATTTCCAAGTAATAAAATTCCATGTAATGAATAATTTCCTTTTTTCCCCTCTTATCCAATGTTATTCTTACAGGATTCCTGGCGATTTGCCAAGGGCATCATAAAAGCAAACAGAGACATCCTTTCTCTTTTCCAGTAAATAGCACCACTGTCTCCGACAAGCCTCAACAAATGCGAGCAACAAATTGGTATTCAGCTTTTTTTTTTAATCCCGTATTTTTTCCCTCTTTCTTTGGTGCTCGTCATTCTGAAACTTAATACTTGGAGGAGAATTTAGTTTTGTATTAGGAGACACAGTCTTTGATATTTGGGGTGTAAAGGTTTTTACCTTCCTGGTCACTTGGAAATTAGTCATTCATCGGTTGAGTTACTGGTTGAGTTTTTAAAACGTGCAGCATTGGTCACTATAAATACAGGTTAAATAATATGCGCATGTAGAATTGCCCACAAATGCTTCGTTTCATGCACTCTGACAAAATACATTGGTCCACAGCTGAGCAAATAGATTATTTGTTATCTAAATATCCCAAATGAAAGACCTCATCAATCATTTATTCGGAAGGAAACAAATGGTAGCCAGTTGCAGAGAACAACAAAAATTCTTGAAATTCAACATGGTAATCCCTTAATTTTCAGTTTAGGGGGCTGGAGCTTTAAAATACTGAACTTGTTCTGATTTATGTACATTTAATTTTACACAAATTTAGTTTTTCCTCCAATCTATTCAACATTTTTTGAGGCTTGTCTTTGGAAAAATTTCAACACAAAGGAAAAATGCAGTAAACTCTCCATTTTACAGTTCCCAAAGAATTACAGTATTTAATAGTATTTTATCAATATGTACATGTCAGCATAGGTGGTATGAAATATGGTGACTTTCATTTATGACACGTAGGCAAGTATTTAGTAACTATAAATGTTTAGCAATGAAATATCACACACCTATTTTATTTACAACCGAAATTAAGCAGGGCGAGAATAACTACCTTTTTTCACTCTCTTGGTCGAGTTGTTAGTCCATCTTTTCACAACAGTTGAGGCAAGTTTAGGAAAGTAAACTACCGTTATTGATGCCCAACCTTAACGAGGCCAGTCTTTGTCAGCAATGCAACTATTTCTTTGGAACATTATCATTACCTCTGTGTGACCTAACTTTTATTCTTAGCCGGTACTTGAAATTGGGATTGAAGTCTTAATACTTGAGTAACAGGTTTTGTTTTAATTTTGTCATGCGCTTGCAATAGAGCCCTGTTGTCAGCAACAAAGTATTGTAATGTGTTACAGTTTATTTATAGCCACCTTTATCACTGATTCTTAGTAGCCATTCTGCTAGTTTGTGTAGAGTATTTTGTCGAGCTTGCCCATTAGAGTGAAACATAAGTTGGATTGAAATATGAAGTTTGTCACCCAGGTTGCATAAAACACTTAGCACATTAAGCTTTTTGTTCTTTCTTTTTTTTTTTGGATTGCTTGTTTGAATATGTTTGCCCCAGATGCAGTTTGTATATGATTTATGTATTCGCTGTGAGCTGAATGAACCTTGCATAATTTAATACTGTCTATTTCTGTTGCAATTACTGTCATGAGGACATTTCAAAATCTCAACATGTGCTTCGGTATGGCTTCAAGATTCCAAGGCTCTGGAAGAGGCTTTGGATGATGGTCGAGTTAGCCATTATGGATATTTTAGAGAATGAATTTGAAGCTTTTTGCTAATGAAAGGAGTCAATTTCCAAACGTGAAGTAAAAATTGTCATGCTTTCATTGGTTGCGTCCGCTGCCAACATTCTCATGTTGTACGTCCATGTTGTAAGTTTGTGTAGTGTTTGCTTGGACAAAAAGAGGAAATAGTAGTGTTTTGGGAGAGTAGTGTATGGTTTGAGAATAATATTATGCAGTTATTTGCTCATGAAAGTAATTTTTTTCTGTGAGAAATACAAAAAAAAGGAAAGCAATGCTTGTTGAGGATTGTAATTAGTAACGCATAATTACGTTAATATTTGGTTTGGTGATATCTGACACATAATTTGCACTGCAAAATCAGCCTTATGATTAGCACAACGCTAATTTATTAACACACTGAAGTCGAGTGTGAAGGGTCGCGCATACTAAATGATGTCTTTCGGTGCCAAACAATGCAAGCTCCTTCGAGCCCTTTTGTGGAGAAGTCAGCTTTAATTTTATCAGCTTGTTCAAGTAGGGCAACAATCAGTTCTGAGAAGATAAAAAAAACCAGGGTGAATTATTAGTGTTTAACATCCTCTAATTTAAGTTGGTAATATTCTAAACGAGCTTTGCATTTGCTTTTTCATATTAACTGTTTGATTTTTTCCCATTTAAAACTATTTTTTTTCTCTATACGGAAACTAGTTCAAAGAGAAACTTGTAATTATTTTATTAAACCTTATACGATGACGTATATCTTATAGTTCCGGTTAATTGGCGAAAGAGACAGAAGTATTTTATCTCTGATTTATTAAATTTTGCGGTGTATGTAATCGTGACGTTGTGCACCTTTGACCTACATGTGGTGTGACTGTGAAGAATGCAATAAAAAACATTGATCTTTTGACCTCTTGGAGAAAATGAATCTTTATGTGCTGCAATGTTTCTTCTTAATCCGTGCTGTCCAAAACGACACCAGTTATCTCTGAAAGTCAAGATAACAGACTTTTAATTTAGATTTTTGTATCCACCCAGAGCTGAAGTGCACCCCCAATCGGCGAAAAGAAAAACAGGTGGTTACACGGGGGTTCTTGCACGCGTTGTGCGTGTACGCAAAGTCCACACGTGCCCGAATAAATTAGTTACGCGTGCTCCGCGTCAAACGCGCGCATATATTTGCGCGCCTTATGGCGCGCCTATGCGGTGAGGGGTGAGGCCAAAAGCCAGGCACTCCGTTCATGACGTCACTACGCCTGTGGCCCCGTTCAACTGCCCATGTACGAATACCCAATTGTAACTCATCGTGCACGCGTGACCTAGGCCCTTTTCCAATACTCAACTTGGGCTCTGTCTGAGGCTTCGTTCCCCAAACCAATCCCCGATTGTGGGCCTGAAGCGTTTAAATTAAATTGGATTACTGGAATTTCTGGCTCTCTTGCATCTTATTTGATGTTTTGTGGCACTATTAAAACTAATTACTGCGCTTACAGCTTCAACGTTAGCTAGTAAAAAAAACAGTTGAAGCCTGAGACGGAGCCGAAGTTGAGTATTAGAAAACAGCCCTAGTCGTGAGCGAGTTGTTCCTTCTTCCATGTTTACAGCGTAGTCCGTAGTCGGTCCACCATATCTGTGTTAAGTAAACGGGTTTTCATGCAGTGATGTTTTGCGTAGTGACGTCATGCACGGAGTGCCTGGCTAATAGCCTCACCCATGCGGTGAGCACCAAAAAACCAACAACAAAAAACAAACAAAAAATCACGCCCTCTTTTGTTCTGCCCGCAGCGGATTATGGGGATGTGAAAGAAACAGGAAATAGGATACGAGAATGACCATGCTGTTTTACGGTCTTAAGTTCAAGAAACCTCAGGACCACACATAAAAAACAGATTTCACGTGGTGCTACAGCAAAGCTATTACTTAACTTCGATTTACCTGCCGGATGCCCGATATGGCTGTGGTTCGTATAACAGACCCGGGGACTTTATTATTATTTTTAAAGGAAGTTTTACTCATTCTGTAGGAGGAAGAGAACGATCGAGGCAGCAGGTTTGAACTGAGTCTACAGCTTAAGTTACATGACAATGATGACACATACCGTGCGTGTGTCCTAGGTAAATTGCGTCGTGCTAAATTTTGTCAACCATCGATCTCGCATGGTGGACTTCATCATGGCAAGAACTGTGACCTAGTTCTTTGTTTACACAAAATTAATGGACTTTTAGTCACCAATGTTCAAGACTAAACTGTGTGCAATAGTAAAGTACAGCTGCAATAAATTTTGTTAGACACAGGTTTTCTGCAACTTTATTCTCTTCTGCAATAGATGGAAACGACTCGACGTCCCTATAATACGTTTATGCAATGTAAAGTGTTATTATTTAAACATTGAAAACCATCCAGGCTTTCCCGGGCAACTGAGGGCGCTGTTGCTGTGATGTCATCCATGGAAAACATGGCTCGGTGCATAGGTTTTCTGTTCAAATTTTAAACCTTGACCTCATAAATACTGAAAACATTTCAGAGAAAGAGTTGATTGCTTGCTTTTTGCTGTGTGCTTACACATCAATGAACCACAAAAGAAGACAAAACTTAGGCAAGCAAACTTTAAAAAATGCAGGAATGTTTGTGCTTAATTCAGTGTAACATTGGGGCGTTCTTCCAAGGATGACACGCCAGTTTGCTCATGAATTCAGAATAATCGAAAACAGAAAAACAAAAGGCAGCAAAATACCAATTAAAATATTGAAACGAACATTCGAAATGAGACACAAAGATGGATTTTGGAGGTTTGTATGCATGCATTGCAGCTACCCTTTAAGGATAGCTGTAATGGTACTTTTATTGGGTTGCTGCGTGTGTGACCATGATTATATGCACACGCAACTATTATGACATTGTGACTAATGTGGACGAACTCGTAATGGAGTAAATGGGCTGTTAGTGGGACACGCATCATGCATGAGGTGGCAGTGGTCGGGGTCTGGCTCCAAAAGGCTACCTTTGTATCACTGTTTAGGTTAACTGTCGATGTCAACCTTGATTTCTCGATTATTCAAAAACCCCTCCTCCTGTTTAGGGCTGCATTCCAGTAGTGTAACTATACGTAGGAGGTATGGATGCACCCCCCCCCCTGCGGAAGTCCATGCCCTCTTTGCCCCCTTTGAAATTTTGAAATACACATCCAATCCATGTCCAAGTCCCCTGTTAAAAATTGTGAGAACCCTCCAGTTACGTCACTTCTGTGTTCACTCGTTAGTGTTTTTACTCTCAATCCGGTTCGTATGTGTGTGACGTCATGTAGTTTAAATTACGTCAACTGCACATGGAGTTACGTGGAACAACGATACTGGAAGTTAACGCCCAACCTGAGTGTTCATCCAATCTCAAGAACAATCACCGTGCTTCCTTCCAGTTTATGAATTTCAGTGCAAACTATTGATTCTAATCTATGCATGATGGGGGAAGAGTTGAAAAATCCCTTTCGTAGAGAAGCGAAAATGCAGCTGGTAAAGGTTATGTTTCGCCATGGCGCTTATACCCTATGTGCGTTAGATATCTGTCATCATAGGCCAACAAAGTGCGATTTTGTCAGAGTGCGTATACAAAATGTACAGTGCACTTCTTGAGTACAGAGTCGCTCGCCTGACCGAAACGAATAGCTTGCAGCCTCTATTTACCGTCCGCATCCAGTGGCTTACCACGGGCATTTCACGATTGGTTTGGCGCCATAACGCCACATTATCATTGTCCAGCTGCCAGCCACTAGAAATTCAGTTCCGAACAGGTCTCCATAGCGTGACGTGCAAAATGAATGTCAGCAGGAACACACACATACGACGCTACCAAAATTGCCTGGCGTGAGTAGACGTCAGTGAGAACTCCTTAATTAAGGTAGCAATAACGGAAATGAATCGTATCTCTTGGAGTAGGTGATCAAGCAAGGACGATCCGCAATGCTGGTGGACGGAGCACACAAGGCAGTGGGCGTGAAAGAGGTATGATTTTAAACAATTAATTACCCGAATACTATAATATTTGGTTTTGCAAAATACTGTTGGGATTTTAAAGTTGCTGTGAGCTGAGGAGTACAGAACGACAATGGCGTGGCAAAAAAAACGTGAAGTTTGAACGGGGAGAATTCCATGCTGATCATGACGGTGCGCTATTTTTCAACATAATGTAACGGGTTTCTTTATTTCTAGTAAATTCTAACATCTGTTTAAAATTTTGTGCAAAGAATGCCTTTTATTTATACAGTTGTGCGACTAAGCTGAAACAGGAATTTTTTGAACAAAAATGTAACGAGTCATATTCGACATTATCCGACATTATTGAAAAGAAATGGTAACATGTACAAACCTATATGAACTATACCTTCGGCAGTAAAAATGTTGGAATAATAAAAATCATCAGATGCACATTGCGTCCTTGCGTAACCCCTAAGTCAAGTGGCTGTACTTCCATTTTGTAAGATTCATTTGCTATTATTTTTTCCTGCCAACTTTGAAAGCCAGACATTTTCCGTGTTGTACGTAATTTTGACACCGATAAGTTCGGCGGTCGATGCGTCAGCCGAGCGTGATAGCTTTCACCTCCATAATTGTTAATTTGATAATTTTTCTTCCAGCCCTGTACACTCACTTTTGCTTAAGGCCACGTCGACGTGGAAAGACTAAACAATGGAAAATGATATTGTAAGGCAATCCTGGAAACGATTGTGCGCGTGCGACGTATCAGCAATCGAACATCCGGATTACAGTTGGCAATAGGTCCTCTGTGATAGAGAATCCTTTAGGCTCTACCTTTTGGTCAACCCTTTGCTAGACTCTTGTTGCACCTTCAAGATCTGGTGTCAGTTACATCACAGGCAATTCAGAACATGTCTAGATTTTGTCTCTATACAGGGGGCACTTTAGAAGAAGGAATTTAATTTTGACAGCGAGTAATATAAATGAATAAGACGACGCGTAGTCATGCATAAATCGGACCGTCTGCTCACTTTACACAATGAGAACATCCCCATCGGATATCGCCTGTGCATTGTTTCAAGTATCGAAGAGAAACGAAGCAGTTCCCTTGGCAGTTCATCTCGTCTAGACCGCGGGATAGCGAGGTCGTTGCGAGGGGAATAATGGGCGAGGAATTAATTTTCCACCCTTTCATTCATCATGGGAGTTCTTAATAATTATTGTCTTTTGTTGGATATGGGCACGATAACTGTTGCATGGCAACGAGATGACAGATAATTATAATGGACATCTTAACCAGGGGCTGTTTGTCTTTCTCATGGCATAATTTTGACGGTGGTGACGCACTGCATCATTTACAGTCAATTAGGCTAAATATTTACGTTCAGCTCAAAAGCATTACATGTATCAACAAAATTTAATAGGGTTTACTGTGTTCAGAGCTCGTTTTAGATAGAAATTTGTGTGGAATTAATACTTGCGCTTCTAAACTTGTCGGTCGAGGTATATACACGGGCGTCGCTAGCCCTTTTAGCAGGGGGGCTAGCTCTCCTTTCCGGATGGGGGATGGGGTGTGGCAGAGTAGAACTTGAGTAGAACACTTATCATAGAAGCCATCAACGATGGAGGATATCTATATTCTGAAGCATTTTCACGAAAACGGGCAATCGTTATTTTCCCTTTTCCATAGATTCTGTTCCCTTACTTAAAAAAAAAAAATTCCCCACCCGCTCTTTTTTGCTGTCATCTCGCGACGCCGGTGATTAGGCATAGTCCCGTTCACTATGAGAGGCTTGTGTGTACATTCCTCGCACCCCTTTCCCTCATAATCTGCTGTTAAATAAGGAATAAAAAGGAGTTTTTCACGTTTTCTTCCAACATACTTCTTTTTACCGTCCTTCTGTCGATTTGATTCAGTCGAGGATTTGCATCTTTTCAAAGGAATTATTTCCGAAGATATATACCGGCACTTAACGTTCGTGCCTATGCGCCATGATTACAAACGTGTCGTTATCGTGCTTTGCTTTTACGGAAAGCACGAACCGGTTCGGTAACTGATCTGTGTATTCATCGCCAGTGTGCGCAAAGTTCCCGTCGGTGTCCATGGGAATTTTGTTTTAAATCTAATTTTCTCCTGTATGTGACTAATATACATGTGCCCACATAGGGCCCTGGCCTATTCACAGGCGGAGATATTTTATAAGCTAAATTCAGTGCGGTGCTGGGGAGTTTGACACGTCATTTCCAGTCATTCTAGCAACCATAATGCATCCAATTTGAATTGCGCAACGACATGCATTTTTTAAATATTTCAGGCCTTTTCCATTTTTAATTGCCGTACAGTCGACTGGGGCACGAGCTACCACGCTTGGTTTCAGATCTTGTCCTTTTAATATCTTTTCAAAAGTCACACAATCCCATCTCGCTTAAACAAACACCAGTTCCTTAAAAAGAAGTCTCCAGAGTGTTCTTTGCCGTGCCGCCCATGCAGATGCCTTGCCGATCAAATAACACCAGGACCAGTTTACTTAGCAGATTAGATTCGACAGCTTCCTTGGTTCAATGAGAAACAGTGATGGAAGTTTGCATTTTTGGAGACATTCAAAAGATCCATTATCATACGAGAAGTGAGGAAACCATTTTGACCCGTGACGACGAAACCTGTAACGGGACTCGCGTATTCAAGATGTATACGCGGGTGTATTTCGTGTGAACTTAGGCTCACTAGTCGTATATACTTAGCCTGTTCTTGCCTGAACTTGTATGCATACACACGTTCCCTGGTAAAGCAACCTCAAATAACCGAGAATCGCATGCAGTATAAACACAGAGATAGCAAGAGGCAGAACTAGTTTTTAAAAACGACAGCAGAAATCTCCATTCATCACACTGAAGGCCTTACACCCGGCTTAGACCGCACTGGAGAGCCATGCGCCGAACCAAATTATTAGGAGCGATTCGAGCCGATCCAATTAGTGAGTCTAGGCTCTGAAATATACACTTCAAATCAAGCACAGTGTTTTTAGCATTGTTTCAGGGACGTGGTGAAAAAATAATCATATCCTTGTGCTAACTCGCACGTACAACTTACATGTCTACGTACGACTTATATCGTAAATACTCGTACTTATCGTATATATTCTAACGTAAACATGTCTTGTATAAAGACTAATAAGTAGTACGTGCGAAATGTAATTCGTACGTACGAGATGTAAGTCGTACGTGCGAGATGTAAGTCGTACGTGCGAGATATGGGTTGAACGTAGAAAGATAAGTAGTACATAGGCCTACGCCATAAAACTCATACGTACTTAAGTCGTTTGTGCGAGTTACATTGCTATATTGCACGCTCGAGATATAGGTACAAGATATAAACCGTACGTACGAGTGAGTTGAAGGGGGAGAAAATGTTGTTCACCATAAATTTCATTAGTCATACTGCTTGGTAGCATGCCTACCCACTCGAACCGTTTACTCAGCAGCTGTGCGAAACTGGGCCGTAATACTAACACACTGGGTGGAATTCATCTCAACGTACGTGACACCACGCTCGCGGAACAGCTTAACTGTAATTTTGTAACGACATGACAAGCTTAAATTAATACAATCGCCGTTTCAAATTATCTCATTTCGCGGTATGCAGTGACTGATTGCCCACCAGTCTGGCTACAGACTTTATTTGCTGAGCATTTAAACTCTTGACGTTGTCTCCTACACGGTGATTAACGATATGAAAATGCTGTCCTTCCCTTTAACGCACCGCGGGGGTTGGAGAGTGCGTGCGCGTCAGTTCGTTGGGGCTAGCTTGCCATGCATCACACATGCAATTAACCGTACAGGTTTTAAAGTAAACTTGGGCCTTCGTTTCGTGGATGTGAAGAGCAATTATAAAATGCACCTGTCTATTGTGGGTAAGTAAAATTATTTTAAAGGATCTCTGCAATGCGATTTTAGTTCAACCCTTGAAAATGCACCCTGTGTTTCAACAATATTTAATTTTTGTTTGTTATTTTGAGAGAGTGTTTTGCTATCTCTTTGGCCTTTAAGGTATTGCGAGATTCATGAGCAAAACTGTGATGCAAGGGTGTTTAAGATGTTGCATCGATTTTTGCCTAAAAATTGCTTGATTTTTTATATTCTGCTGTCCTTAATTTCATTGTCTTTGGTGATACTTGTGTAAGTAGGCTATAAGCCAACAAGCAACATCTTCTCGTACATGCTTTCGCTAAGAAAAATGTTTGTTCATGATTTTAACGGAAACACCTGTAAAATGAAGTCAAAACCTCGTCCTTGAATGGTGTCACAGCAACAGCGCTATCATTTGTCCAGAAAAGCATGGATATTTTAACATTTCAATGGGTACACTTGACCCCAAAAAGACGTCCACGAGTTTTCATACATGGATGACTGTACAAAAGGTGCATCTGAGAAAGAATTTTGTTTGCTCTTTCAATTAACGCCGAGACCGATGTAGAGCGTGAACTTAAGTTTTAACATGCAATCTCATGTTTGACTTTTGGCAATCGATGAACAGTAATTTTCACATTTCATATTATGCCTTGGAAGTAAAGTCCGTCCGATGACTTTGTCTTTACCGTCAAGTTCTATGGACAGGATGCTTGCTATTAAAAACAACCGTGACAACAAACATCTTTCTTCTTTCTCTCTGAATTCTACATAAGAAACGCCTTTTCGTTAACTAGGTTGACCAAACGTGGTCTGCTGTTGAAAGTTTGATCCCGATAGCGACGTCAATTTCTGGGGAGCATTGGGGAAAGTGCTTTTTCCATAAAGCCGAACCTTACTTTTATTTGTTAAATTTTCCACCAGTATAATTATATTTCCAACTTATATACATTTTTCTTGTGATTTTTTGTCTTTGCTACCATTGTTGGGTTGTGGCAGAATCCGTAGCTCATACTGCACACAATACAACTTAAATGTATGGTTAAAAAATTCATACCACTGTGAGTTACTTGCAACAATCTTCCTCTTTGTGTTGGAAAACTGCCATCCCACAGCACCTC